AAATTGCAGTAAAATCTACATTAAAAATATTTGAGAGAGAACACAAGCAGAAGAGGGGTGGAGAGAGAGAATCTGAAGCAGGCTTCAACCCAGTGCAGGACCTGAGATGGGGCTTCATCTCATGACTGTAAGGTTATGACCTGAGCTGAAATCAAGAGTTGCACACTTAATCGACTGAGCCACCCGGGCGCCCCCATAAATAAAATGTTGAAAGTAAAAAAGAATACATAGGGGCGCCTGGGTGGCGCAGTCGGTTAAGCGTCCGACTTCAGCCAGGTCACGATCTCGCGGTCCGGGAGTTCGAGCCCCGCGTCGGGCTCTGGGCTGACGGCTCAGAGCCTGGAGCCTGTTTCCGATTCTGTGTCTCCCTCTCTCTCTGCCCCTCCCCCGTTCATGCTCTGTCTCTCTCTGTCCCAAAAATAAATAAAAAAAACTTTAAAAAAAATAAAAAAAAAATAAATAAAAAGTCAAGGGATGTAGGAACACCTGGCTGGCTCAATGGGTACAGCATGCAACTCTTGATCTCAGGGTCATGAATTTGAGCCCCACGTTGGGTGTAGAGATTACATAGAAATAAACTCTGGGGAGCCTGGGTGGCTCAGTCTTGATCTCATGATTTCTTGGGCTTGAGCCCTGCATCAGGCTCTGTGCTGACCATGAGGAGCCTGCTTGGGATTCTCTCTCTCTCCCTCTCTCTTTGTCCCTCCCCCACTTAAGCGGTCTCTGTCTCTCTCAAAATAAATAAATAAACTTAAACACATTTAAAAAAAAAAAGAATGAAAATATCTAAAAAATTTTAAAAATGAAAAGTCAAGGGAAGTGCATAGATATTTTCCAAGAAAGATTTACAAATGGCCAAGAGCACACAGAATGGGGAAAGGTGGTCCAAAGGTACAAACTTCCTGTTATAAAATAAATAAGTCATGGGGGTGTAATGTACAGCATGGTGACTATAATATAGTTCATAGTACTGTATTATATATTTAAAATTTGGTGAGAGAGTAGATCTTAAATGTTCTCATTGCAGGAAAATAATTGTAACTACACACGTGATGATGAATGTTAACTATACTTTTTGGTAGTGGTCATTTCTCAATATATACAAATATTAAATCACTGTGTTGTATGCCTGGCACTAATATAATAAGTCAATTGTATCTCAATTAAAAAAAATTTTTTTGATGTTTATTTATGAGAGAGAGAGAGAGAGAGAGAGAGGGACAGAGTGTGAGCGGGGAGGGGCAGAGGGAGAAGGAGACACAGAATCTGAAGCAGGCTTCAGCTTCTGAGCTGTCAGCACAAAGCCCAATGTGGGGCTCAAACTCATGGACCGCGAGATCATGACCTGAGCTGAAGTTGGACGCTTAACTGACTGAGCCACCCAGGCGCCCCAATTGTATCTCAACTTTTAAAAAGAATGAAGTAGGGGCGCCTGGGTGGCGCAGTCGGTTGAGCGTCCAACTTCAGCCAGGTCACGATCTCGCGGTCCGTGAGTTCGAGCCCCGCGTCAGGTTCTGGGCTGACAGCTCAGAGCCTGGAGCCTGTTTCCGATTCTGTGTCTCCCTCTCTCTCTGCCCCTCCCCTGTTCATGCTCTGTCTCTCTGTCCCAAAAATAAATAAACGTTGAAAAAAAATTTTTAAAAAAAATAAAAAGAATGAAGTATTGATACATTCTGCAACATGGCATTCCCTGAGAAAATTATATCAAGTGATTGAAGTCAAACACAATGACGACATATTATATAATCCCATTCCTATGAAAGTCAACAAATATGGAATTTTACATAGACAGGAAATAAGTTAATGGTTGTCTAGGGCTGGCACTTGAAGGAGCTGAGTAGGAAGATAGGACAGTGATAAGTAAAGGGTATAGAGTTTTCTTTTTAAGAGATAAATATGTCCTGAAATGAACTGTGGTGATGATTGCATGCATCTATGTAGGTACTGGAAACTGGTGAGATGTAAAAATTAAAGGGGTCTATGGTTATAGTATGTGAATTGGATCTAAATAAAGTTGTTCAACTCTTCAACAAATGTTGGGGAAGTGTTGGGAAAACTGGACAGCCACATGCAAAAGAATGAAACTGGACCACTTCCTTTCACCATACACAAAAACAAGCTCAAAATGTATTAAAGACCTAAATGTGAGACCTGAAACCAAAAACATCCTTAAAGAGAGCATAAGCAGTAATCTCTGACATCAGCCATAGCAACATATTTCTAGTTTTGTCTCCTGAGGCAAGGGAAATAAAAGCAAAAATAAGGTATTGGGACTACAACAAAATAAAATTTCTGCACAGAAAAAGAAACAACAGAATTAAAAGGCAGCCTACTGAGTAGAAGGTATTTGTAGACAACATATCTGGTAAAGTTTTAGTATGCAAAATACATAAAGAACTGACACAGCTCAATACCCCCAAAATAATGCAATTAAAAATGAGCAAAAGACATGAACAGGCATTTCTCCTAAGAAGACATTCAGGTGGCCAACAGACACATGAAAAGATGCTCAACATCATTCATCATCAGGGAAATGCAAATCAAAACTACAATGAGATATCACCTCACACCTGTCAGAATGGCTAAAATCAGGGGCGCCTGGGTGGCTCAGTCGGTTGAGCCTCCGACTTCAGCTCAGGTCACGATCTCGTGGTCCGTGAGTTCGAGCCCCGTGTCAGGCTCTGGGCTGATGGCTCAGAGCCTGGAGCCTGCTTCCGATTCTGTGTCTCCCTCTCTCTCTGCCCCTCCCCCGTTCATGCCCTGTCTCTGTCTCAAAAATAAATAAATGTTAAAAAAAAAAAAAAAGAATGGCTAAAATCAAAAACGCAAGAAACAGCAAGTGTTGGGAAGAATTTGGAGAAAAAGGAACCCTCTTGAGCGGTTGGTAGGAATGCAAACTGGTGCAGCGACTAGGGAAAGCAGTATGGAGGTTCCTCAAACAATTAAAAATAGAACTACCCTATGACCCAGGAATCACACTATTGGGTATTCACCCCCCCCAAAATACAAAAACACTAATTCAAATGAGTAAAAGCACCCCTATCTTTATGCAGCATTATTCAAATAGCAAAACTATGGAACTAGCCCAAGCAGCCATTGATAGATGAATGGGTAAACAAAAAGTGATATCTATCTATATCTATAATGGAGTATTATTCAGCCATTAAAAAAGAATGAAACATTGCCACTTGCAACAACATGGGTGGAGCTCGAGAGTATAATGCTAAGTGAAATAAGTCAGAGAAAGACGAATACCATATGATTTCATTCATATGTGGAATTTAACAGACAAAACAAGCAGAGGGGAAAGAGAGAGAGAGAGAGAGAGAGAGAGAGAGAGAGAGAGAGAGAGAGAAGCAAACCAAGAAACAGACTCTTCAGTATAAAGAATTAATTGATAATTATCAGAGGTGAGATGGGTGGAGGAATGGGGTAAATAAGGGATAGGGATAAAAGAGTACATTTATCATGATAAAAAATAACATAAAATGATTTTTTTTTTCATTCTCACATCCAATTTTTTGTCTGGACAATGACAAACATGCACATTTTTTTTTTCAACGTTTATTTATTTTTGGGACAGAGAGAGACAGAGCATGAACGGGGGAGGGGCAGAGAGAGAGGGAGACACAGAATCGGAAACAGGCTCCAGGCTCTGAGCTGTCAGCCCAGAACCTGACGCGGGGCTCGAACTCACGGACCGCGAGATCGTGACCTGGCTGAAGTCGGACGCTTAACCGACTGCGCCACCCAGGCGCCCCAAACATGCACATTTTAAATATTCGGTGTATGTAAAAATAAAATGATTAAAAAAAAAATAAATGCCCACCCTAAGGTTGTTCAAATAGTGGATATATGCATCAAGAGTTTTGCTTTCTAGGGGCGCCTGGGTGGCTCAGTCGGTTAAGCTTCCCACTTCAGCTCAGGTCATGGTCTGGCGGTTAGTGAGTACGAGCCCCACGTCTGGCTCTGTGCTGACAGCTCAGAGCCTGAAGCCTGCTTCCGATTCTGTGTCTCCTTCTCTCTCCGCCCCTCCCTGCTCACACTCTGTCTCTCTCTCTCAAAAATAAATAAACATTAAAAAAATTAAAATAGGGGTGCCTGGGTGGCGCAGTCGGTTAAGCGTCCGACTTCAGCCAGGTCACGATCTCGCGGTCCATGAGTTCGAGCCCCGCGTCGGGCTCTGGGCTGATGGCTCAGAGCCTGGACCCTGTTTCTGAATCTGTGTCTCCCTCTCTCTCTGCCCCTCCCCCGTTCATGCTCTGTCTCTCTCTGTCCCAAAAAAATAAATAAACGTTAAAAAAATTTTTTTAAATTAAAATAAGCACTTTTTAAATTAAAAAAAGAGTTTTGCAATCCAATCTCTTCAGCATATTAATACTTTCCAAGAACGTCCCATGTTTACATAACTTTTTCTTGTTTCTTGTTATATCAGTTAAAACAGTAACCGAATTACCTTATGGGGTATTCTAGCCTTTTATATATCAAAGTTCTCTAAGTATACATTCAAACAATGACCTAAGAATAAATGTTCTTTCAGTGTAAAACGTACACCTGAGAATTTAGTCAATGCCTCTTACAACTGTGGCTGGTCTTTCAAAGAGTCCCTGCCCCCAGCTGAGACTGGGGCTCCAATTTTCCATCCCAGCCAATAGGCTTGGAAGGCAATAGGCTTTTTAAACTATGAAATAAGGATGGGGAAGCATCGGGTGGAAGCCCCAACGCTGTCAATAGGCAACGATCAAAATGGAGCCAGGTGACTTTTAAGGGTCTGTACTTGCAAAGAAGGGTCACAGTTCCCGGAGCGGCTCCCAGCAGCTGGCGTTCCACGGACCCCTTACCTCTGGCCTGGTGTCACTCCGGAGGAATGGGTGGGCCTTGCAACCTGTCCAATCAGGGGAGACGTCAGGGCAAGGGGGTGGGGCGACGCTCCGCAGGCGCGCCGCGGGAGGCTTCTGGCTCCCGCCATTGTTTGGATCGCGGTCGCCTACGCTGCGGTCCTCCACGTCGCTGTGCCTCGGGTTCTGTCTTGCTGAGCCCTGGACCTTCCTCGGAAATCGTAGGTAGGACGCCGGGAGACACAGGAAAGCTAGAAATGGTGAGTGGGCAGGCCCGGGCTTCCGGAGAGGGGGGCGGAGTGCTGGGTAGAACTGGCCGGAGCTGGCCGTGGCGTGAACTGGCCTCCTCGCGGACGACTCTGAAGTGTGCGCACCCGTTGGTGGCGCCGCTCGGACCTCAGTCCCGTCCGCGCGTGGCCAGGGGGCTGGGCCGGCCGCCGGCACCCCGACGACCTGTATGGTCCCTGTGCGCGGCAGCTTCGGCCTTCGAGCCTCCGGACAGCTCCGCGCCCGCAGCTCCGCGTCTCTCCAGATGGTGCGGTGACCGTGGTGACAGGGGGCAATCGTGACCGGCTCTCTGGTGTCCGTGCGCGGGAGATGCTAAGTATGGCCTTTGGGGTCTCCAATCCCTCCTTTCTCTTCAGAGGGGACCGGCTTTCTCCTGAGTTTTCCAAAATTTGGGGAAACCGTGAAATCCACGAGCCTGTCGCGGCACCGTCGCCCCCCCCCCCCGGCCGCCGCGCCCAGCCCTCCCTAGGGTTGGCATTCGTTGCCTAAATTAACTTCCAAATCCCTCCTGGCCCGCATCCCTCCTCCAGTTCACAGCGTCATTCGTTCTCTATGGTGCCTTTTAAACAGACCCGAGGGGCGCCTGGGTGGCTCAGTCGGTTGAGCGTCCGACTTCGGCTCAGGTCATGATCTCGCGGTCCGTGGGTTCGAGCCCCGCGTCGGGCTCTGTGCTGACAGCTCAGAACTTGGAGCCTGTTTCGGGTTCTCTGTCTCCCTCTTTCTCTGACCCTCCCCTGTTCATGCTCGCTCGCTCTCTCTCTCTCTCTCTCTCTCTCTGTCTCAAAAATAAATAAAATGTTTAAAAAAAAAAGTTTTAAACAGACCCGATACTTCATTTGTTGATCATTTTCCCGCTGTCAGTGGATGGCTCTTTTAAAAGGGTGTAGTTTTTTGTTCCTGGATATTTTACGGAATAGAAAAGTAGCGAATAACTGCCCGGTACAACATGGTATGAAATCCTTGTGCCTCTCCCCCCAGGATCTTTCCTGGGCACAGACATCCTATGGGAAGTCCTTTGGGTGGCGGTTCCTCTTTGAAACTTTACTGGGCGATGTGCCGACAGCACAGCCCCTCCCTCCCTTGGTTTGTCACATTTGAAACATTTCTTCAATTAATTTTAGTCTTGGGGCGCCTGGGTGGCTCAGTCGGTTAAGTGTCCGACTTTGGCTCAGGCCATGATCTCGCGGTCCGTGAGTTCGAGCCCCGCGTCGGGCTCTGTGCTGACCGCTCAGAGCCTGGAGCCTGCTGAGGATTCTGTGTCTCCCTCTCTCTCTGCCCCTCCCCCATACATGCTCTGTCTCTCTCTGTCTCAAAAATAAATAAACATTAAAAAAAATTAATTTTAGTCTCAAGTTTTTCAGTGAATAAAAACGTATTTAATCCATACAACGCGAAAAGCAGTTGTGAAGTATTTCCAAAGAGTCAAGAAAGGAGTGAATTTCAGAAAAAAACAAAACAAAACAAAACATTTCTGGGATTACATCTCAGGTATTAGTATTATTATTATTATTATTATTTTTTTTTTTTTTTTTACTTTTTCCGTCCCTTGAGTGTGCTACTAATATTCTGAGGTCTGTTCTTTGATTTGGATGAGTTGGGATGAATTTCCAAGGCTTAGACTTGCAGACCTGTGGTGTTCAACTATGATTCATAGCTTGTAAAACAGTTTGTTCTCATGGAAATAATTAACGTCTTGTTATTTTTTTAGTTTTTGTGAATGCGGTTCATACTTGGGAGGTTTCTTGTTGAGCCAGTTTATTAAGGGCCTTACAGTTTTTTTTTTTTTCCCTCTCCTTTCCACATAAACACTGGGTTTGAGTGATTTGCTGGATTGTTCCAACACTGGGTTGATGTCATTTAAAATATCTCTGGTGGTGCGAATAAATAAAAAATAAAATAAAATAATAAAATATCTCTGATCTCTGGTGGTGCAAAGCAATGCCAGTGGCAGGCAGAGGCTTCAGGATGGTCTGCCTAAGCGTTGGCCCCCCCCTTGAGGCTGCAAAAGGAAGTTCATGGTGCCCAGTTTTTCCTCCTGGAGCAGTACCTCCCCTGCGAGTGTGTGGGGCTTCCGGAGTTCATTCCCGTGGCTGCTCAGGTGTCCTTTCCACAGACTGACCCACCTCAGGACTTCTGTCTCCACCAGGAGAGTCTAGAATGGAAACTTTTTTTTTTTTTAAAGTAAGTGGGGCTTGAACTCATGAGCCCAAGCTCAAGAGACACCTGCTGTACCCACTGAGCCAAACAGGGGCCCCTAGAATGTGAAACCTCCCGAATGTGGCTTTCCTTCTATCCTATGGGAAGCAGGCTGCTCATAAGAGCTGATTCTGATCTTTCTTTCCTTTGGGTTCCTTTGCTGCTTGAACAGTACAGCCCTTTGGCTCTGGTTTCCTTTGGCACTTGGGCTCAGAAACTCTTAAGTTGATTGAGAGGTAACATGTGAGGAAAGCAAGAAAATTGTGGAACTAAGTAGAATCTGCTCTGTTTAGGCAAGAGAACCTCAACATGTGAGAGGCATTCAGTTAAGTTTTCTTAAGGTCATTTAAACATTTTTTTAATGTTATTTTTGAGGGATAGAAAAAGCACGCACGGGAGGGGCAGAGGATCTGAAGCGGGCTCTGCACTGACAGCAAAGAGCCTGACGCGGGGCTGGAACTCACGAACCGTGAGATCATGACCTGAGCTAAAGTTGGACACTTCACTGACTGAGCCACCCAGATGCTCCTGAAGGTCATCTTTCATTTTTGGATCAGTTAGTGAATGCACTTTTCCCGAAACAACATTGACATTTAACAGGCTAAAGCAAATGAATTTCTATTTCAATTGATGTGAGGAAAACTACCCAAAGTTTATGTAAATATTTGAAAATCCAGTGCATTGAAGGAGCTAAGCTCAAATTCCTAAAATATTGTAATATGCTACTTACTCCTGGAAAATACCCGGAGTGTGATACAGGGGGGAAGGACAGACTGATACTCTGTGTCCTTCCAGTTAGGCATTTGAAAGTTTTCATTTTGTATGGTTTACACTTTTGTAAACTTTAGTGTTTAGTTATATTGTCAAATGGTTTCCTGTGTATAAAAGTTAAAATGAAGTCAAGACTGTGAGTGTAATATACGTAAATTTCTCTATGTTTTTTAAGTAAATTTGTAAGATAGGGAAGTGTGACTTAAGAAAATCACTGTGAACAAATCCTAGTTCCTCCCAACACTGTGAAGCCCAGCCACCCCCAAATACACAGTTTTAATCATTTCTTGAGCCTCGTGTTAGGGTTTCTTTATACTCAACAAGCAATTGCGAATGCATATTTTTCTTAACCTATGTTTGTCCTTGTAATGAGCAGTCAGACCTTGCATTTTTGGATATTTTAGTGCTGACAGCTTAAGCCTCTCCCTGCCCTGTCCACTCCCACCTCCCTTGCTCCTTGTGCTCCCCGCTGGATGAGCTGATGAGAAAGCCTGGGTGGTCTCTCCTCTAGAACATGTAGGAGAGGGGCGCCTGGGTGGCGCAGTCGGTTAAGCGTCCGACTTCAGCCAGGTCACGATCTTGCGGTCCGTGAGTTCGAGCCCCGCGTCGGGCTCTGGGCTGATGGCTCAGAGCCTGGAGCCTGTTTCCGATTCTGTGTCTCCCTCTCTCTCTGCCCCTCCCCTGTTAATGCTCTGTCTCTCTCTGTCCCAAAAATAAATAAACGTTGAAAAAAAAAATTTTAGAACAGGTAGGAGATTCCAACCAGAAAAGCCCCCGCCTGTGTACAGAACTTTTGCCCCCGCCCGCTCCCCAACCCCAATGGACTCCTTACCCGGCCAGGCTCATTTCTGTTCTCCTGAAGCCATTTCAGAGCTGCCTTAACAGGCAGCCTTGCCCCGAGACCTCTGTTATGTGAGTCCTAAGCCTTTTCCGACTGTCTGGGTGTCTGTGTACAGTGTTGTTGGGGCTGCATCGCCATTCGCCTCAATTTCTGAACCACTTCTCGGCAGGTACCATAACAGTTGGCACCGTGAGCAGCGTGTCCACATGTGACCACCATTCCATGGGTCTGTCTTCTCTTGCTGTAAGTTGCTCCCTGATGGTGGCATGTACTGCCGGGGGCTGGTGAGCTCGTGCTGTGACCTGTGCTGTCCTGTGCTGCGTCGGTGACCCAGCAAGCCTCAGTTCTAGACTGAGCCAACCAGAGTTGGCAGTTGTGAGAATTTCTAGGCTTTTGGGAGCAGGACTGTCGGATTGGGGCCCTCCTTAAAGTGGTCCTGGGTCAATGTCTTTGCTGGTTTCTCTCCCTGTGTTAGAGTGAAGCTGTGACAGAGGCTGGGTTGGCCCCTGTATACCCTGTGGAAAGAGGTGGCCTCATTCAGCGTTTACTCCTGGGAGAGCAGACATTTGGAAAGAGAAAGAAGAAAGGGTGAAAGGCAGCCAGTAAGTGGTGGGCTGAGTCCACACTCCGAATACCAGATGGTTGAATGGGACCTTTGAGTACCTCTGCTGCTCCTGCCCCTGCCTCTTCTGCAAGAAATATCCTGACTCTGCGGATTTGAGAGGACAGCATCCATGGCACCCTTTGACACAGCAATGGAATTGGTTCAAAGCTGACTTAAGCTCCTTGTCCTTAAACCCATGAAAGCAACCAGTTATCATGGGGAAGGCTCCTAACCCTGATGGCACTGATTTGAGACTCTCAGGAGGAAACCGTTTATAAACACCAGGGTAGAAAGGCACCCCCTCTGCCAGAGTATATCCAGGGACAAAGAAAACAAAAGAGGGATGCTCGAGGAAGGGACTAATAGATAAAGTACTGAAACAAAGGACCACAATTTGACTGAATTGGAAATCCAAAATGTACAAAAAGAATTTATACAACAGAACAGGTAAGAATTCACTGCTTGGCTTTTCAGCCTCTATAACATAAGTTCTGGATCAATTTTGCTATCTAATGTAATGCACTAACTCAAGAACCTTTAAGCAGTCAGTCCATACTAGGTCTCAAATTATAGCTATACCTGGGATCCCACTCCCGTTTAAGCAGGGTACCCCTGATGGTCTCATGGCAGTCACTGAATAGGATATAGGGGATAAACAGCACAGCTGTTTCTTCTTGACCGTCAGAACTATGGTCTTGTCGAAATCCTCCATGGAGATAGCCCTGGTTGTTCTAAAAGAACCCAGAGTGATCTAGGAAGCTCCGAACCAATGATTCATAAATTAAAATTAAATAAAGCCATTGGCACTTATAAATTTATCTTGACAAAATGGGACCTCACGGACTGTGCCCTCTAAATTGAGTAGTTAATATGGCTCAACATAAATTGCTCAGGCCCTTGAAGGAATGAAACCACATATAAAACCTGTTTAGCGAGGGGCTGATTATTCCCAGTGCTTCTCCTTTGAACAGCTGAATTTGACCTATTCTTATCTGGAATGAATGAATGACACCTCACAGTGGATTACTGTAACCTTGTAAATGTGGTCATGCCCAACAGAGGTCTATATCCAGTCTCCAACTTTATGGAAATTACTGACTCAGCCAATCAACAACTGGGTAAACTTGCTGTCACAGATTTGGCTGGGTCTGTTCTGTTCAGTGTTTATCTCAAGAGCAGTTGCCTTCACTTTGAAGGGACATAATATACCTTTACTGGGTTATCCTCATGGATCTTCAACAGCTTTGCCTTCCCACACAATTGTAGGCAAGATCTGAACTGCATCCTTGTTTCTACAAGAACACAGGTGTCACGTTATATTAACGAACTCCTCCTCCTCCTCTGAGAACATACTAGACAGACAGATATTGAGAAAAGGAGCTAGCAAACTTTGGATGGGACATTGTCATGCATAAAATGTGAGGCCTGGTCAACCATGTTATTGTACCGGAAATTATTTGATCATCTGACACCTGCTCCTTCTCTAACATCATGAGGAAATAGCTGTTCTCCCTAGCAATACCCCAGACCTCAACGATGTTCTTTTGTTGTTCCGGAAGTAACATATTCCTTGTTTACAAATTTTACTTGAACCCATTTATGTTGTTATTTACAAATGGGCACCTGTACCTCAAAAGGCTGGAGGTTTTTCAAATTGCCGTTGAACTGGCACTCCTGGTCGTGCCCACAGAGACTTCTTCACTGTAGATGATTCATTGGCCTCCTTTCACACCTCCTGGAATTACCCATGATGGCCTTGGGAAAGGCCTGCTCTGTTACCAGCTTGAGACATTATGGGGCAAACCTTGGACCTATGAGATAGCCGCCTGCGGGAGGGGGTGACCTATTCTCTGCTCCATCTCTTGCAAGATGTCCTAGTACTGAAATAAGGCCCCTGGCCCCTGGCCTCCCCGAGGAGCTCCATAGGAGTACCTGAGTGAAAAGCAATGGTAGTCCGTAGACTTCAGGTATGACATCACCACATTTGTACATGGTGGAGCATAGGCAGAATTGCTCCTTTTTTTTTTTTTAATTAATTAATTAATTTAGAGAGAGCGAGAGAGAGAGAATCCCAAGTAGGCTCCGCACTGTCAGCACAGAGTCCAACATGGGGCTTGAACTCAGGAACCGTGAGATCATGACCAGGGCCGAAGCTGGACACTCAACCAACTGAGCCACCCAGGCGCCCCAGAGTTGTTGCTTTTTATGTCTTAATTGGGATGTCTCACTAATAACTGGACCCAGTGGTCATTACTACTGACCACACATCCAGTAGTCATTTTAGCACCAGGCAACAAGACATTATCTTCATCTGTTGACTAGTCTTGAGTGATTCTCTGAGTTGCCCCTTTGAGGTGAAAAGATTCTAGGAATCTTATGCCTCCCCCATCCCCAGTGTAAATCAAAGTAACACTTGTCCCTACATATACTAAGGCCAGAATACAAGACCTTGCCAGGACACTTATCTAGGTCTGAGTCAAGATGCTACTGACAGTAACAAAGACAGTCATTTCATTTCTCAAAGTATACTGTGCTGGGTGCTCTAACAAGGCATTCAGTGGAAGTTGTTTCTCCTCCCTTCCAAGTCTCGGTGCAGGCTTCATAGAGCACCGTAATGGCTTACTGAAATAAGTTGAAATTCATTCAATGAGAGATGGTCTATGCTTCTCATGGATCAGTTATCAGGTGTGAATATTAATGTGTCTGTCTTTTTCTTTTCCTAGTAGACTTTTTTAACTTTAAGAGAATTTTAACAGAAAATTTAATCAGAAAATACAGAGGCTTCCCACATAATCCCTCTGCCTTGACAAGGTTTTTCCTATATTTTATATCTTGTATTGTTGTAATACCCTTGTTCCATTTGTTGAACCAACTTTGATGCATGAAAGTCCTTATTTTACAATTAAGGTTGACGCTGTGTCATATAGTCTCAGGTCTTTAGCTAATGTGAAATAATGATGTGTCTCCATCATTTCTGTATCATATAGAATACTTTCACTCTTCTGAAAATCTCCTATTCCCTATCTCATCATTCCTCCCTCCCTCCCACCCCATATCCTGGTAACCAGAGACCTTTTAATGACTTTTAATTTTCTCTTTTCTGAAATGTCATTCCCTTGGAATCATTCAGTGTGTAGCCTTGTCATATGGTTTTCCTGCACTTAGAAATATGACTTAAGGGGCGTCTGGGTGGCTCAGTCGGTTAAGCGTCCAGCTTCAGCCCAGGTCATGATCTCACAGTTCGTGGGTTTGAGCCTCACATCGGGCTCTGTGCTAACAGAACAGAGCCTGGAGCCTGCTTCAGAGTCTGTGTCTCCCTCTCTGCCCCTCCCCTGCTCATGCTCTGTCTCTGTCTCTCTCTCAAAACTGAATAAACTTAAAAAAAAAAAAAAAAGAAATATGATTTAAAATTTTCCTCATGTCTTTTGGCTTGATGAGCTCATTTCTTTCATCACTGAAGAAGATTTCATCCTGTGGATGCACCAGTGATATTTTCTATCAGTTCACCTATTGAAATTATCTTGGGTCCATGTAAGTCATAACAAGTATGCATAAAGCTCCTATAAACATTTACATGTAGGGTTTTTATGAACCTCAGTTTTCAGCTCCTTTATGTATATTTGAAATGTATAATTGCTACATAGTCTGGTAAATGTGGCCTTAGTGTTAAGAAATTGCCTTTCTTCCAAAGTAGGTATATCATTTTCTGTTTCCACCAGCAATGAATGAGGTTACCTGTTGCTTTCCATTTTTCCAATTGTTTGGTGTTCTAAGTGTTTTTTTTTTTTTTAATGTTTATTTATTTTTGAGACAGAGAGAGACAGAGCATGAACGGGGGAGGGTCAGAGAGAGAGGGAGACAGAATCCGAAGCAGGCTCCAGGCTCTGAGCCGTCAGCACAGAGCCCGACGCGGGGTTCGAACTCACGGAACGTGAGATCATGACCTGAGCCGAAGTTGGATGCTCAACCGACTGAGCCACCCAGGGGCCCCAGCTCTAAGTGTTTTTAATGTTAGTGTTTGATGCCAGTCCCTTATCAGATAAGTGACTTCCAAAGATTTTCTGCCAGATTATTGCTTGTGTTTTCATTCTGTTAACTTGTTTCACTAAGTAGCTTTTCATTGTAATGAAGTCCAAGGTATTTTCTTCTTTCTTAAATGTTGCTTTTTTTTCTTATTTATTTATTTATTTATTTATTTATTTATTTATTTATTTATTTTTGGGACAGAGAGAGACAGAGCATGAACGGGGGAGGGGCAGAGAGAGAGGGAGACACAGAATCAGAAACAGGCTCCAGGCTCCGAGCCATCAGCCCAGAGCCTGACGCGGGGCTCGAACTCCCGGACCGCGAGATCGTGACCTGGCTAAAGTCCGACGCTTAACCGACTGCGCCACCCAGGCGCCCCTTTTTTTTCTTTTTTAAATAATCTCTACACCCAACACGAGGCTCAAACTCACTACCCTGAGATCAACAGTTGCATACTCCACCGACTAAGCCAGCCAGGTGCCCCTGCTCTTGTTTTCTTAAAAATTAATCACCAAATTGGGGCGCCTGGGTGGCGCAGTCGGTTAAGCGTCCGACTTCAGCCAGGTCACGATCTCGCGGTCCATGAGTTTGAGCCCCGCGTCGGGCTCTGGGCTGATGGCTCAGAGCCTGGAGCCTATTTCCGATTCTGTGTCTCCCTCTCTCTCTGCCCCTCGTCCGTTCATGCTCTGTCTCTCTCTGTCCCCCCCCCCAAAAAAAAAAATTAATCACCAAATACTACATCACCAGGATTTTCTATCTTAATCTTTTAGGAGTGTTAAAATTCTACAATATACCCTAAAACCTGTGATCAAATTTGAGTTAATTTTTGTGAAAGGTGTACAGTTTGTAGATTTGTTTTTTTTGTATGCACATGTCCAGTTTTTTTTGACATTATTTGTTGAAAAGACTGTTTCCCATGGAGTTAACTTTGGTTCTTTGTCAAAGATGTGCTCACTGTATTTGTGTAGATCTACAGAAAAGCAGTTGCCTTTTCTATACTAACTTTTTATCTTTTAGTTTTTCTCTTCTCAGTTCATGGGGTTTTCTTTGTTATTTGGAATTTTTTGACATTTTCTCAATTGACAATCTTGTCATATGACACAAAGACAGTTTTATTTCTTGCTTCTCCAAATGTATGCCTATTATTTTTTGTTATTTACCTTTTATTCCCCTTGTCTGAATGCATTAGCTAAGAATTCCAGTACAAGATTGTCTAAGTGTAGTGAGAGAGGACATTCTTGCCTTTGTTCTGAGGTTACCGGAAAGCATGTAGTTCTTTTAAGGTGGTACACTTATATATATATTTTTTTAATTTTTTTAATGTTTATTTATTTTTGAGACAGAGACAGAGCATGAATGGAGGAGGGTCAGAGAGAGAGGGAGACACAGAATCCGAAACAGGCTCCAGGCTCTGAGCTGTCAGCACAGAGCCCGATGCGGGGCTCGAACTCCCGGACTGCGAGATCATGACCTGAGCCAAAGTCGGACGCTCAACCGACTGAGCCACCCAGGCGCCCCGGTGGTACACTTATGTTAAACAAGACCCCAGTTGATGTAGAGGCACATGGGGTCAATGGGGAAACATTCTCTTACCTCAGGGATTTGCTCTCAGTCTTTCAGTGAGCCTTTGTCCCTGGGCTTGACTTACTGTGATACAATGAAAAAGATGTGTGGTAAGTGTCCTCGGTTCCTAGCAAAAGCTCTTGAAGCCCTTGAGATTACTTGAGTGTTAATGGTGAAAGAATGTGTGTGTTTTTACATTTTTTTCTAATGTTTATTTTTGAGAGAGAGATAGACAGTGTGTGAGCCACGAAGGGGCACAGAGAGAGAGAGAAACACAGAATCCAACTCAGGCTCCAGGCTCTGAGCTGTCAGCACAGAGCCCGACACAGGGCTCGAACCCACAAACTGTGAGGTCATGACCTGAGACGAAGTCTGGCGCTCAACTGACTGAGCCACCCAGGCGCCCCAGAATGTGTTTTGTTTAGTGAGGTTTTATGGTAGGGTTTTGGACACCTGAAATAGCCAACTTTGATTAAAACTTTAGAAAGTTGGGCTGCGGGTCCCAGCTTCTGGGTATAAGATAGGGGCTAGAGGCTGAGTTAATTACCAGTGTCCAGTGATTTAATAAATTGAATCCATGTAATGAAACCTCCATCAAAATTCTTAAAGACAGGATTCTGACGGTTTCTGTGTTGGTGAATCAATCCAGGTGCTGGAAGGTTGGCATGTCCATAGTGGGGGTGGGTGCTTTGGATGCCCCACCCCCCATCTCCGTTCCCCTTACCATTGCCTTAACTTGTCCTATGTATTGCACCTTTTGCCTGTTCCTTATTTGTATGATTTATAGTAAACTGGTAATGGTAAATAAAGCATTTTGCTAAGCTCCTCAAAATCATTTCAGTAAATTACCAAACAGGGCAGAGTGTGGAGGGAATCTGTGAATTTGTAGTTTCCTGTAGAAATAGTAAACTGGGCTCCTCATTTATAGCTTGTATCTCAAATAGGGGCAGTGTGTGGGACTGCTTTTTAAACTATGAGTCTGACTTAAACTCTGGGTAGTTTGTGTTAGAATTGGACACCTTTTTAGTGACATAGAATTGGAGAAGTGGCTTTGGAACAGGTACCACATATTTGGTATCAGGAGTGAGAGAACCCTATCATCTGCCCCACCTTTGGAGCAGAAAGGAAAGAAATACCTTTGTCCCCCCCGGTCACTTAGGCTCTGGGAGTCATATGGAACTTCTTATAAATTGAGTACAGGTCTTCAGGGGTCTGTCTCATCCATCCTATGTACATATATGGGATTATTTAGGACTCGGTGGCCTTTGAGGATGTGACTGTGAAGTTCACCATGGAGGAGTGGGCCCTCCTGGATCCATCCCAGAAGAAACTCTACAGAGATGTGATGCAGGAAACCTTCAGGAACCTGGCCTCAATAGGTAGGGACGACGACATTTCTTGCTTACTAAGTCAATTAGAGATCCAGTGTAACTTGCTCCTCAGTGCTATTTTAAGAGAAAAAATGGAAAGGGAATGTTTTGTTAATAAACCTGCCATGATCATAACTTATCATGGACCTAGAATCTAGCAATTCTATAAATTTTTATAATTTATAATGCTTTTTCCTAGTATGTATTTCAGAAGAAAAATGGGAAGTCTATGACAGCGAAGATCGGGATGAGAATCATGGGACACATCTAATGTGAGTAGCATTCACGTGGGAAAACAAGAGAATCTAGAGAGATGTGATGAAATTTTATTTTTAAGTTTTATTTATTTACATGATCGCTACACCCAGTGTGGGGCTCGAACTCGTGACCCCAAGATCAGGAGTCAGATGCTCTACCAACTAAGCCAGCCAGGTGCCCCCGTAAAATTTTAAAACCAAACAAATAAATTAGCCTGGATTTATTTAAATCCATTGATCCATAGGCTATTTTCATCAGTAGTTTTTTCCCACATGTGGCCAAGATGTACAGGTTTCGAAAGATGGTATGCCTGGAAACAGCGTATAGAAATACCATTTATGAGTATTACTGTTTTGATAACAGCTAAGGTGGAGCCCTGTTGCAGAGCTTTTGGTATGTTCGCTTTCAAACAATCAAAATCTGCAGAAAACCTACATTTTCCTTGATGGTAACAAGTCACTGTCATAGTTATTAATAAACATAAGCTCATTAATAACCAAGCTATTAGTAATATGCTTCTCGTTTTTTACAGCAGTCAAATGGTAGGAAGACTCTGTAAATGTAAAGAATGTAGCCAGTATGAAGGAATCTTCGGCCAGATTCCAAATCAGAATCCGAAGAAGAGAACTCCTACTGGAATAAAACTAGGTAAATGGCCTTTGTGCGGACAGGTGTTCATGCATCATTCATCTTTGAACAAGCACCTGAGATCTCACGCTGGACACAAACTATATGAGTATCAAGAAGGTGAAGAGAAGCCTTATAAATGCAAGCGTTGTGGGAAATCCTTCAAGCATCGCCAATCCATTCGAATGCACGAGAGGTCGCACGCTGGACAGAGACCCTATGAATGCAAGCACTGTGGGAAAGCTTTCATTTGTCGCAATTACTTTCAAATTCATCAAAGGGCACACAGTGGGGAAAAGCCCTACAAATGTACAGAATGCGGTAAAACCTTTAGTTATTCAAGTAACTTACGTAAACACGAAAGGACTCATATCGGAGAGAAATCTAGTGAATGTAAGCAATGTGGTAAAGCTTTCAGTTGTGTCAGGTCCTTTCGAATACACGAAAGGATACACAGTGCAAAAAAGCCCAAGGAATGTACAAAATGTGGTAAAACCTTCAGTTACTCAAGTAATTTACATAAGCATGAGAGAAGTCATAATGGGGAGAAACTCTATGAACGTAAAGAAGGTGGGAGAGCCTTGCATTCTCTCACCAAATTTCGAAGACCCGTGATCGAGCACAATGGAGATGGGCTTTATAAATGTAAGGAGTGTGGGAAAGCCTTCAGGTGTCCCAAAAACTGTCGTAGTCATGAAATGACACACAGTGGAGTAAAGCCGTATGAATGTAAGGAATGTGGTAAAGCTTTCAGCTCTCCCAGGTCCCTTGGAAAACACAGAAGAATTCATACTGCCACGAAGCCTCACGAATGTAAGGAATGTGGTAAGGCTTTTCGTTATCCCAGTTCCCTTCGAAATCACGAAAGAATTCATACGGGGGAGAAACCTTATAAGTGTAAGGAATGTGGGAAAGCTTTTAGTTGTCCCAATTATTTTCGAATTCATGAAAGAACTCACACTGGAGTAAAACCATATGAATGTAAGCAGTGTGGAAGAGCTTTCAGTTGTCCCCAGTCCTTTCGGATACACGAAAAGACGCATAGCGCAGAAAAGCCCTATGAATGTGCAGAATGTGGTAAAGTCTTCAGGTACTCCAGTAACTTACGCAAACACGAGAGATCTCATACTGATGATAAACGCTACGAATGTAAACTATGTGGTAAGGCCTTCAGCAGTCACTATTATGTTCAAAAACATGAACGAACTCACACTGGAGAAAAGCCCTATGAATGTAAGGAATGTGGGAAAGGCTTCATTTTTCGCTCAGGTGTTCGATCGCACATGGTAATCCACACTGGAGATGGGCCTTATAAATGTAAGAAATGTAAAAAAGCATTTATTTCTCCCAGTTCGTTACGAACACATGAAAGAACTCACACTGGAGAGAAACCTTATCAATGTAAAACTTGTAGTAAAACCTTCAGTCTTACAAATTCCTTACGAAATCATGAAAGAACTCATACATGAGAGAAATGTATGTGGTAAAGCTTTTTCCTATTTTCCTATGAACATAAGGAATGTGAGAATGCAAAAGATTTGTTGCATAATCTCTCATGGACACGTAAGAATGCACACTGGAGAGGAATTGTAGAAATGTACAGAACGCAAGAAAGCCTTCAGTTGTCCTGTTTCCTTCAGAACTTACCAAAAGTCACGGTGGAGAGAATTCTATTGGTAATAAACAATGTGGGAAACCTTCACTTGCCCGCCATCACTAAACATCTCATTCCCCAGATTCATCCTGTATAACTAAAAAATAAAAACTTTGTAATTTTTGCAGATATTTTCAAGGTGGTATGAAAGTTATATGGGAAAGAAATCATACTCAAGTGATATGGGTAAGCTCTTTGAACCTTCATGTATAATACTTCTGAAAATTCACAACATGAAAGAAATGTTATAATCGTTATACTGTATGGTCTTTTTCAAGGATTCATTCTCTTGAGAGAGAGCATGCGCCCATGTGGTGGGGGAGGGGCAGAGGGAGAGGGAGAGAGAATTTTAAGGAGGCTACATGCCCAGCGTGGATGGATGTGGGGGTCGATCTCACAACCATGAGGTCATGACCTGAGTCAAAATCAAGTTGGATGCTTAACTAACTGAGCCACTCAGGCGCCCAAAGGATTCATTTGTAAAGTGATTCTCTGCACTGTGGATTTCTACTTACCTTTGAAAGCAGATATTGAAGTGAGATAATTAAGTAGGTACTCTTTAAGCAAGAGTTCCTAAGTTTAGTAAGTAATTTTTTTCCCGAGTAATATTATTGTGTTCTTATTTTGAGGTCTGTTGGATCCATGGGTTATTGAAGTGTATTTCTTTTTTTTTTTTTTTTAATTTTTTTTTCAACGTTTTTTATTTATTTTTGGGACAGAGAGAGACAGAGCATGAACGGGGGAGGGGCAGAGAGAGAGGGAGACACAGAATCGGAAACAGGCTCCAGGCTCTGAGCCATCAGCCCAGAGCCCGACGCGGGGCTCGAACTCATGGACCGCGAGATCGTGACCTGGCTGAAGTCGGACGCTTAACCGACTGCGCCACCCAGGCGCCCCTATTGAAGTGTATTTCTAATATGCAAGTAGGTTTAATTTTTATATGATTTTTAAGTTCTGTAAGGAGAGGAACATTGAAAAATAACACTTTCTTCCTTTTCCCTAGAGTCCTCCTGTGGGGCATGTACTCAATATGCTTTAGCATATTATAGAAATAATTTTCTATATTCTACATTTCTTTATTAACAGAGTTCCCCTTTCATTGACCTAAAGAGCTTCTTTCTGTTTTCCTTACCAACTTTCCTTTCCTTTCCTTTCCTTTCCTTACCAACTTACCATATAGTTGTCAATATGCAAAGTTCATCATACAGTCTCGTGAATTTGTCATCGCTTGTGGCTGGGATTTGGAGTATAGAGTTACATTAAGAATAAAGGTCTGTGTGAGGTAGAACAATAATAAATCTAGAGTTGGAGATGACCCCTCCTTGATGCTGTTAATGTCAAAGTCAGTAATGTGAAGTATGTTTTCCAGTATCTGTTGCATTTATGTATCCGTGTTAGAATTCACTAAACCCTAACCTACATGAAACTTGGAACACAGAAGTGAAATAGGGTTAGGCACGTTTTTCAGCCACCTGTATAGACGCAGGTAGAAGCATAGGGCTTCATGGGTACCTGCTTCCAGACTGTTTTCCTCATTCTTTTTTTTTTTTTCCCCCTGAGAATCAAGAATAATCTCAAAACCACCACCAAGTGCTTGACTTCCATTTGATCCCAGCAGTAGGCTTCTACAGTTGTGTCCAAAGTTCTACATCAGAGACCCGGCAGGGGTTAAAATTTCCAGCAAGCTCTCAGGTATCCACAAATTTAGGCTGTCGTGGTTGAGAATGTTCTCTGAAGTGCCACCCCCTTCTTTCCTACATTTTACTCATATAAGGTCTAATGTGTATAGTAAACACCCTTTTCTGTTAATACCACAGTTGACTGTGTGTGTGTGTGTGTTTCCCCTGTGACAGCTGTAGTGGGCCAGTCTGGCAAAACTACATGGCCTTGTGCAGTGACTGCTGAGGGCCAGTCCTTCCGTGTGAGAATCAGCACCTTCCTCCTATCAGGCAGATTCTTTCTGGGTGTGTCACGTAATTCATAGTTGAGCATAATCCCTCGATATATTGTTAGTCATCTTGGTATGTAATTGAAAATGTGTGCATTTCTTTGATGAATTCATTTATAGTTTTTTCTTAGAAATACTTGGTTAATTTTAACAGGCACTTGTATGCTAATATGTGGTATGATGCTGAGAGGATATATTGAAATGTCTTACTGTTTATTTAAAGAAACTTTGTTTTTAATTTATTTTGAGAGAGAAACAGAGCATGAGTGGGGGAGGGGCAGAGAGAGAGGGAGACACCGAATCTGAAACAGGCCTCAGGCTCTCGGCTCTCAGCACAGAGCCCCACATGGGCTCAACCCACGAACCACGAGATTGTGACCTGAGCCGAAGTCAGACGCTTAACTGAGCCACCCAGGCTCAGTTAATTTTCTTCACTTAATCGTTATATATTATAAGTCAATATTATTGAGGCGCCTGGGTGGCTCAGTCGGTTAGGTGTCCAACTACGGCCCAGGTCATGATCTCACAGTTCATGAGCTCGAGCCCCGCGTCGGGCTCTGTGCTGACAGCTCAGAGCCTGGAGCCTGCTTCGGATTCTGTGTCTCCCTCTCTCTCTGCCCCTCCCCTGCTCATGCTCGCACTCTGTCTCTGTCAAAAATAAATTAAAAAATGGGGCGCCTGGGTGGCTCAGTCGGTTAAGCATCCGACTTTGGCTCAGGTCATGATCTCACGGTTCATGAGTAAAAGCCCCGCATCGGGCTCTGTGCTGACAGCTCGGAGCTTGGAGCCTGTTTCAGATTCTGTGTCTCCCTCTCCCTCTCTCTGCCCCTCCCCCACTCATACTCAGTCTTTCTCTGTTCCTCTCAAAAATAAATAAACATTAAAAAAAAATTTAAAAAAAAATTAATTAAAAAAAAATTTTTTTTTAAGTCAGTATTATTGTGTGCATATAAATTTGAGTATTTTTTTCCTTAGGAAAATATTTAAAAATTCTTTTATACTTGGAATTTTTGTGATAAAACTAGTTTTTCATTTGTTCATAAAACCACAAACTTACGTCGTTTTCAGTTGCATTTTGCCCAAGACCACTAGTATCGCATCTATAGTCAAAGACAAGAGTATGTGAAATCTAGAAATAAGTATGACCATAAGCCATAAATAACCGTGCTGTGTAACAACAGTATCAGCACACTTGATTAAAAGGAATTCTCATTGGAATTTGATTTGTGGTAGATTATTTGATTGCTGTTTAAGAAAGGAAGACATTTTTCTGTATTGGGGCTTTGAGAGAATGAACTTAATTCAATCATAAATAATCACAGTAATTCTTTTTTTTTTTTTTTAATATTTTATTTTATTTTTTTTTCAACGTTTTTATTTATTTTTGGGACAGAGAGAGACAGAGCATGAACGGGGGAGGGGCAGAGAGAGAGGGAGACACAGAATCGGAAACAGGCTCCAGGCTCCGAGCCATCAGCCCAGAGCCCGACGCGGGGCTCGAACTCACGGACCGCGAGATGGTGACCTGGCTGAAGCCGGACGCTTAACCGACTGCGCCACCCAGGCGCCCCATTAATCACAGTAATTCTTACATAGAAGGCAGAAAGAATGGCTTGATGGTAAACCTAATTTGTAAGAAGCAGAAATCATATTAGTGAATAGAAGGTCATTTTGGTTATTTCTTTGGGATCTGTTCTCTATTGTCATGTTAGGGATTTGGTTATAGAATACTTTTGTTTTATCTTGATTGAAAATGGTTACAAGGTATCTGTGTCTGATGATGGACATATGAGATACTTTTCAACGGTCTAGGCCTTGCATGGAGTACTAGGCCAGCTCTCAGTCATCTGGAACACCTTACCTTTCTTGTTATTTAAATACTGAAATAGGGGCGCCTGGGTGGCGCAGTCGGTTAAGCGTCCGACTTCAACCAGGTCACGATCTCATGGTCCGTGAGTTCGAGCCCCGCGTCGGGCTCTGGGCTGATGGCTCAGAGCCTGGAGCCTGTTTCCGTTTCTGTGTCTCCCTCTCTCTCTGCCCCTCGCCCGTTCATGCTCTGTCTCTCTCTGCCCCAAAAATAAATAAACGTTGAAAAAAAAAATTTTAATACTGAAATATTCCCTACAGTGTATTTGGACACTTCTGTAAACTACCTCACTTAAAGTATATATATTTCAAATCACATACTCTTTAGCAAAATATGTAAGACTTATTATTTCTTTTAGGAGCAATGCTTACAAATTTAGGGAAATTGTCGAAGAACACAAACTCCAAAAGTGACAGTCAAGATCCCTCTTCCAGTGAAGCCCTTCTTTTTTTTTTTCTAATGTTTATTCATTTTTGAGAGACAGGGCGTGAGCCGGGGAGGTGCAGAGAGAGAGAGGGAGATACAGAATCCGAAGCAGGCTCCAGGCGCTGAGCTGTCAGCACAGAGCCCAACGTGGGGCTCGAACCCACGAACTGTAAGATCATGACCTGAGCCGAAGTCAGATGCCTAACCGAGCCACCCAGGCGCCCCTCGGTGAAGCCCTTCTTGCTCAGAGACAATGCTCTTGATGTTCATTTTTCAACACTATGTCAGGAAGTGTAGGCTGAAAATACAATTTAGCACAAATATTTAAGCCACTCTAGGCCATAGGTAACAGGCATGAAAGAAACAAGTTCCTATGTTCTTGGTGCTTATGTTTTTGTGAGACAAGAAGATGGTTAGCTGAGAAAGCTTTGGTTTTTAATTAGAAAATAAATGTTCTGAAGGAAAAGAAATGAAGGCCCATGACAAGAAGGTAGGGAGTGGGTTGTATGTCTTCTCTATGGAGGGTAGGGGCCACAATGAGTGAGAATGTGATCGTTTTACCACCATCTAACACATCCTAAATATGGAGCAGCTGCTGGTGTGTGGATGGAAGTAATGGCCAATAACACCAGAAGTCCCGCACTCCTGGGATGAAGGGCAGGGATTCCCCACACAGGAAAGATCTAGACCAGTTTCATCTTTGTTTTGGCCCTGGTTATAAGTTGTAGGGCATGTGCTATTTAATTATGAGCACACTCATGGGACTGACCATTATGTTTATGTTTATTTACGTTTCTATTTGACATCAGATGACAGGAATTGAAACTCCCTTAATGATTTGGCACGTATTTTCTGGCTGATCAGACTGAGTGGCACACTTTGCCCCATGCCAAGTTCCAGTCTGAGGAGGTTCTGTCATCTGCGGAGCTATAGCCCATCATGAGTTTTCCTGTGAGTAGAGTGATAGGGGAACTGTATCATTTCATTGTTTTTTGTTTAGTTTTTATTTATTTTTTTAACA